CCCATCTAGGGAGAGCATTAATCCATTCATGAGGGATCCGCCCCATAACTCAAACAGCTTCGAACACCGCCACATTGGGGATCATATTTCCACGTGAGTTCTGAGAGGACAGTACATCAAAACTCAGCCAGACGGCCAGGCGCATGGCTCACTTTGGAGAGTGTGGTGCTGATAACACCAAGGCCACGGGTACGGATCCCTGTATAGGGATGGCCGGTTTGCTTACTTGGGAGAGCATGGTGCTGACAACACCAAGTCAAGGGTTAAGATCCCCTTACGAGTCATCTTAAAAAAAAAAAAAAAAACCCTCCACCAGGATGACTCTGGCTGGCTGGTTAGCTCAGTTGCATAGAGCGTGTGTTCTAACACCAAGGTCAAGGGTTTGGATCCACATACCAGCCAGCTGCCAAGTAAATAAATAATTGCTCCAGACAATTGCACAAGTTATAGGTTTTGAAAGGACAGAATTTAATTTTGGGGGGGAATTTACTGAAGTTCTCTTTGTGGTTTAATTTGTGGCCAATTAGAACTACCCTATTAATTGTCTTTTTTATTAAAGTCAGGTTTACCAAGGTATCATTTATATTTGGAAAGATTCACACTTTTTATGTGTATAGATCTATGAGTTTCGATAAGTGTGAAAGGTCATATAACTACCAGCAGAGTCAAGAGATAGACTATTTAAATAACCCCCAAAAGTTTCCTCCTGCCCCTTTGTAGTCAGCCCCCTCCTTCCAACCACTGATCTGATTTCTGTTCCTGTAGTTTTGTCTTCACAATGTCATATGAGCAGAATCATACAGTGTGTGGTCTTCTTGTGTCTGGCTCCTTTTACTTAGCATAATGCCTTTCAAATCATCATGTTGTTTCATATTACTTTTAATATTGTACCAGTTCTATCAATTTTTTCTTTATATATTCTAAGGGTATGCAGAATTTTGACTAGCTAAATGAGCTTAGGGCCATAGCAATATTTCTCAAAGCTCCTATCATCTGGTCTGTATTCCAACTAGGAGGAAGGAGAAAACGTTTGTGAAGAATGTGTACCCATTTTTTAAAGGGCACATTACTTCTGTTCACATTCTTTTGATTAGAACTTTGGTTCATGACATACCTATCTCCAAGGCACTGGGAAATGTAGTCTCTGCCTCTGTGGCCACGTGTTCAGCTAAAACTCCAGAGGAAGAGAATGGGCGTGGGTGGACAACAGCAATCTCTGCCAGAGAGTGACTGGATGAGATAGGAGACCACTTTAACCAGGCTTGTCAAAGAAAGCCTCTTTTAGAAAGTGCTAGTTGAAGGATCCAGATGGTAGAGCAAGGCTAAATTTCAATCCCCACTTGAGATCCTCAGCCAGGCACTTCCAGATAGGTCACAACCTATCTGTCCTCATGCAGCAGGCAAATAATTTACAAGGGCTGCACTTAGAGTGCACTAAGAACAGAATAACTGGGACAGGATCTTCCCCCAGAGATACTGAAATTGAGATAGAAGTTTTAATCTCTTTTGTCAAGAGTTTTTTTTTTTAAATGCATTTGAAGGATATTATAAGAAACTGAAAAAAGATGAAGTTACTATTAAATGTAATTTTGATGACTGCTTATTATATCCCCAGAGATACTGAAATTGAGATAGAAGTTTTAATCTCTTTTGTCAAGAGTTTTTTTTTTTTAAATGCATTTGAAGGATATTATAAGAAACTGAAAAAAGATGAAGTTACTATTAAATGTAATTTTGATGACTGCTTATTATACTCAAGAATGGATTATCCATTGGATATCAATTGATAATCAAGAAAAGTATGGCCTACTTGCTAATATTCTCTTTCTTGATTCAGGTGGTAGTTTACATGGATGAGTTAACTCTGTGATCATTCATTAAGCACATTTTCATCAACAAATTTGTGATTCAGGCACTTTTCTGTATTTAAGTTGTTAAACAAAGTTTATGGGAGGCCATCGTTTTGGATTAGCCTCCTGCACTAGGCCCCAGCAGACCAGACCAAACCAGAATGGAGCCACTGTGGTAAGTGTCAGGTAATAATCTGAACTTCGAAATGGGCCAGTTTTCCAAAAACAGGAGATTCACAGCAACCAATCAGAAGGGGCCTAGTTTATCTGAGCCAGCATGACAAGGAAGTCCCCTCTGTTTTAACCCTATAAGAAAATTATCTTTGAAGCGGCCAATCCACCTTCTATTCCCTGTTTCTGCTTTCTTCAGCCCTTTTCTGTCAATAAGGCCAAACATCTCTGCTCAGGTCATCAGAACACTCATTCTATTTCATAGAAGGAGGTGTTGCCCAATTCTAGATGGCAAAAAAAGCCAATTAGATCTTTTAATTTGTTGTAATTTTGTCTTATGACAAAGTTATACTTCAATTTTTAAAAAGTTTCTTTTAAAAAAGTAATTCAAAGTAAGCATCCCACTGTGTATAGCATTCAGTCACAAGGGTTCTGTCAGGGTTAGTGATCTTAGGAAGACCTGCTCAATATAAGCTGTGTTTTCGGCATCCAAAATTCACTTCCCTACCTTGATTCTTTTTTTTAGAGGACAGGGAAAATGTTGATGTCAACACTGGCCCGCTAGTATGGAATTCTAGGCTAGTGGTTCCCATCAGCCGACATTTCCAGCCAGATTTATTCTCACGCGCTCCCAAGTTAGGGAACCCCTCACCTCCTCTGGGCCACTGTTTACAGCCCTCATGAGGGGCAGGAAAAAGCCAAGTCTAAGTCTTTCTATTGCATCTTTTTATCTTTAAAGCCATTTTTGGAAAAAAAAAAATGTCTCATGTTTTGTCTCTACATCAAGAATTGATACTAAAAAGAACTAAGGTATCGGGCAGCATGTAGTTTTTTTAAAACCTCTTTGGTGACCATGACTCATTTTGAGAGTCATGTTTCCCTCAAAACAACGCACAACAGGGTCAGTTCTTTGCCTCATCTTACCGGCCCTATCGGCAGTCTTTGCACCACCGACCACTCCCCTCACTTTCTCGGCTCTCCCGCCTGGGCCCCGCCTCACCCGGTGCACGGTCGCTGAGTTCAGCTGCGGACTCCACCTCTGAGACTAGAATAACCGGGAGGGTGGAGTCGCCTGGCTCCGCGGCCGCGGGAAAGCCCGGAACACAGTTACTGGGCGCTGTTGCCCACCGGAACGCGGAGGACGAGGGGACGCGCCAGGCTGAGAACAGGAAGAGAGGGCGGGGGACGTGTTCGGCGGTGGGACGCACTATTCCCGTTCTGTTCCTCTTCAATTTTTCCGTGGCGATGTTCTCTCGAGTGTCGGTGTTCCTGCCTCTTCGTCCCCTCTCCCGCCTCCCTTTGTCCTCTGGAAGCTCGGAGGTATCGGCGGCTGCGATTGTGCTACCCGCTGCTCCGCACGGAACCGTCAGGTACCGCATTTCAGCGCTGTCGGCCCCGCAGGTCTTCGAGCAACCCCACCCCCCCTCCTGTACATGCAGTAATCCTTCTCCTGCTTCCTGAGGCCGGTGTTATTACCTGCGGGATCTTAGAAGTCTTTGCATGAAATCTGAGGAAAGAGAAATCACAGAAAGATAAGGTGACTTGCCCAAGGTCACAGTGTGCATGGGAAACAGCTACGATGACTGCAGTTGATCCAGGCTCCGGAAGGGAAGTGTTTATTTTTTGCCTCCAAGTCTTGATGGTCTCATTTTTTCTTCCTTCATTTATTCTTTAGTTCATCATTGGAAGTGCTTACAGCATGCCAGCACTGGTTATAAACGCCGAATAAAACAGTCCTGGCGTCATGCAACGTATAGTTCCAAGTACACAAGGCATGCACAGTGAAGTGATAGCTGAGATAGTGTGGGTAAACACAGAGTGCGGTATTCATTCAACAAGTAATTGCTGAGGAGCAAATGGTGACACCTGACCGTTGTAGGGACAGGTTCAGGGTATCCTTTCTGGAAGAGAAGACTGATATGTAGGAGGACCATGGTCGGCATTAGCCAGGAAAGAAAAGAAGTTGCGGCATACTTGGTTTTGGTATTTATCCTCTGAGAACGTCATGATAATGAAAACCTAATTCCACTGCATAGATTTCATATAAAATTGTGATAGTCTCTAACATTTTCATAAGCGGACCAAATAGTTTTTCCAGCAATTTGGGAAAGTGCCATTTTCTCTTTTATTAAAGTGTCCCTAACCTGGTACTGCTATTTCCTGGCTTCCAGAACTTGATATAGTACAAGGCTACTTCAGAAAGTTCATGGAAAAATAGAATTAAAAAATAATACAAATCTTTCCATGAACTTTTTGAAGACCCCTCTTATTTAACTCAGGGTCTGATGCAGGGTCTTGAGATCACCTGCATCAGAATCACCTGGGGTCTTAGTTAAAATGCAGATCCCTGAGCACCATTCCAAACTCACAAACTAAGAATCTCAAGGATCTGTGTTTTAAATGAGCTCCGTAAGTGATTTTTATGGCCTGTAAAGGTTCAGAGCCACTAACTTAACTTTTTTGAGCAGCAGTTTCTTCTCCCGTAAAACAGGAATAATAAAACCTGTGCTATAAGATTATAAGAATGAAGTAACATACGAAATATAGCTACTCAAGTGTAGTTCTCTGACCCCCAGCATCAGCATCACCTGGGAACTTGTTAGAAATGCAAATTCTCAAGTCCTTCCCTGAAGCTACTGAGTCAGAATTCTTTGGTAGACTCAAGGAATCTGTGATTTAGCAAGTAGCATAGATAATTCCTATGCAGGTTAAAGTCTGAGAAGCAGTGCTCTAGCTTGTTAGCTTCATAAAGGTAGGGACCAGAGATTCTTATTTACTAACACTTGTATATTGTCAGTGCCTAGTGTAGTGTCCAGGAAAGAGTAGATAGTCGCTATATTTAATGAATGACTCTTTATATACATTTTACCTTCTCACTGAAACTAACACATTTGTTTTTAAAGTTCTTCTATTTCAAATACCAAAAGAGATTTTTAACCCCACAGAATAAAATTAGATATTTGGGTTACTTAGAATTAGGAAATCTTTTGCATTGGTCTAAAACAGATGTAATCATTTGTTTTGTTCTTTTTCATAACTGTAATGAAGAGAGCAGAATGACATCTATAGCCACTGATTATTTTTTCTGTTCCATTTTAGCTGAGCTTACAAATGGTGATTGGTTAAATGGCATGGAGCTCAGTCACAAAGTTGAAGATTAACTAACATCCAGAATTTTTTTTAAGTAACTTTTTTTTAATTGATAGAAATTTCTTTTTTTTTGGATTGTTTAATTATGACTTTTTAAAGGGGAATTATTATATTGTGTTAAGAGCAAGAACTCGGCAGTCAGTTACATTTGGGTTTGAGAATAATAAATTGTTATTATTCATCATGTCAGTGTTTCCTAACCTTTTTTATGTCATGGAACACATAGAACATATTTGTACCAAATGCTGGGGTAAATGGAGGGAGGCAACAGCAGTCTCAGGCCTCACCCAGCTACCCCAAGGACCAGGTGATCAGTGTCATCCCACCTGTACTATTTGTGACCTATCAGTATGGCTTAGGCCTTAGTGAGCTCTGAGCTACGTGGCCTTGGGTAAGTTATTTCTCNCGGAGCTCAGTCACAAAGTTGAAGATTAACTAACATCCAGAATTTTTTTTAAGTAACTTTTTTTTATTGATAGAAATTTCTTTATTTTTGTATTGTTTAATTATGACTTTTTATTTTTATTTTTATTTTTTTTATTTTTTTATTTTTTTTTTGTCTTTTTCCGTGTCCGGCAACGGATCGCAACCCTCAGTGTTGCCCCCGTACTGGACCGGGGACCGGCAACGGGATTGCAACCCTCGGTGTTGCTCCCGTGCCTCGCTCAGCCAGTGAGCAGGAACCGGTCTGTATGTGGGATCCGAACCCTCGGGCGGGAGCGCCGCCGTGCTTCCCAAGCGGCGCACTATCCAGTGCGCCACCGGGCCGGCCCTTAATTATGACTTTTTAAAGGGGAATTATTATATTGTGTTAAGAGCAAGAACTCGGCAGTCAGTTACATTTGGGTTTGAGAATAATAAATTGTTATTATTCATCATGTCAGTGTTTCCTAACCTTTTTTATGTCATGGAACACATAGAACATATTTGTACCAAATGCTGGGGTAAATGGAGGGAGGCAACAGCAGTCTCAGGCCTCACCCAGCTACCCCAAGGACCAGGTGATCAGTGTCATCCCACCTGTACTATTTGTGACCCATCAGTATGGCTTAGGCCTTAGTGAGCTCTGAGCTACGTGGCCTTGGGTAAGTTATTTCTCTGATTTTCAGTTTCCTTATCTGCAAAATGAGGATAATATGTACCTTATGGAGTTGATATGGTTATGAGAAAATGTACATAAATACATTGCATAAGGCCAGGTACATAGTATATTCTAAAATGGTAAATTGGTGTTGTTGTGCTTGTTAACAATAATAGTAAAAAGCAAGAGCAGGTAGAAAGGCTTGAATTGAAAAAATTTAAAAACACTTAAAAGCAGTTATTTGAGTTATCGCTTTATTATTTTGCATTATATTTTTTGTTTTTTTCTTTAATACATTTTTCCAGGACAAAAAATATTCAAAGATATTTTGGCACTAACAGCGTGGTCTATAGCAAGAAAGATGAGCAGTCTGTTCCAGCTGGTGAGAGTTCCAGGGAAACTTCAGAGAGCCAAGATGGTGTAAAGGAGAATACGAAAAAAGACTTGTTAGATATTATTAAGGACATGAAGGTTGAATTAAGCACAGTAAATGTACAAACAACAAAGCCACCCAACAGAAGACCACTTAAAAGTTTGGAGGCTACAATTGGTAGGCTTCGAAGAGCTACAGAAGATACCCCAATGAAGAGGTAAACTGAATTACAATTTGAATATTTTTCTTTGAAACTAATTTTTGAAATTCCAGTAAGCTTTTTCTTTTAGTAAAACATATTTTAACTAGAGTACCTGGGAGATATTGAATTAATGAAGAATAAATATCAGCTTGTAAAAACAGGGACTCTAAAACTACTTGAGGAATGCTGTTATTGTTTTATATTTAAATAACAAGAGGATATCTGTATA